CTTTGCACAGGTTTCACATTTCACCCAATTTCCTCATTTTCTAATACTCAGAAAGTTAAACTTAAAAAAAATAAGGTAATTGATAAACGAGACAGATTAAATAGAAGGCAAGTAACACTTGATTGCAAAAAGTAGGATTTGGGGGTAAGGATAGGTAGAAGAGAGATCTTCCAATACACCACGGAATATTATTATATTCTAAAATGTCAAAAGGATCACATTTATTTTTAACAAACTAAAGAGAAGGAGGGATTAATGTATACTCCAACCTGTGTGACAAAGTTAAAACTGGAGTAATCCATTAAAGAGCTGGGAAAAGAAAGCAAGGATGAAAGGAGTCATCATGTTTTCACAGACCACTACACGTAAAATACCTTTTTACTATATCTTCTCCATTCCAGCATGGCAGTCCGTCAGCAGCGGCTAAGTCATTAACACAAAGCTGATCAGCCAGGATCCCATAAAATGTCCTGTGCAGTCGAAGGTTGTTGATAAATTCTCTGAATGGAAAAAAACAAAGAAAACAATTAAAACCAAAAATCCATAGCAAATGCCATATAAATGGCATAATTTGTTATGTAAAATGTTTAGAATGCCATTTTTTTGTTTTCTCTACTGATTTTCAGATATTCTCTAACTTTTGTAACAATCAAGATAACAACTACATCTAATAAAAAAAAGAACCCTAGTATTCAAATTAATTTTTTTGAGTAAAAGTTTTCACTGGGTATGAATCTTATATAACTCCAAGTCTAACAATTGTGTTCACACTTGTCCACACACACAAACACACACACTTCCTTTAGCTTACCCTAAGTCCTCACTGTAGCGCTCCAGGCATCTAAACCACAGCATTAACTAATTACTTCCTTTTCCATATAGAAATGTCAGAGGTTTATAACATGTTAACTGATAGCTTACTGATGAAAAGTTTAGTAGATTGATTCTTCTATCTGGGTCTTCTTTGGTGTCTAAGAGCATAAAGTAATATGTCTTTCCTAAATGTGCAAAGCCCAGATATGAACATATTTCAGAATCATGAAAATAAAAGTTATTGGAAGGAATAATATTTAATATATTAACTGCATTTTTCTTCCTCTCACTCTACTTCCCTTCCCCCATCAATTATAGAAATGGAAAATTCAACACAAAAGCAATTTGTTATCTTTTTGCTTTGTTTTGTTTTGTTTTTAGAAAGCCAAGACTTTTGAATTTTAAAATCAAGCAAGACTTTGAGGTCCCAAGAGCTTGATTGAGTTTTGGCATTTCAAAAACCATGTCCCAGAGACTTTAGTTTTGAACTTCTTTTTACATAAACACGTTTTCAAAAAAGAAAAGAAAAGCCACTAGCTTGATACGCAGGAGATAATTTCTGGACTAGAAGGGAGGGGTAAGAGTAGGGGAGATTGAAAGGAAAGCCAACTTCGGAAATTCATGGCATGAGTAGTTGAAACGTAGCAATTATGAAATTATATACCTATCTGAAATTAAAAAATAATAATTTCTTTAAAATGAGATCAAATAGGAGGGCTGGCTATATATTATAACTGAAATAACCACTTTAAAAAAATAAATACAATGTTGACAGCACTGATGTTCAACTGTATTAATTTTATAATTGTCTCTCTTATTGGCTTTCAAAGAGCTATTTTTGAGAACCGAAGGAATTGTAAATAACCATTAACTTGTACGAAGGATAACTGTAATTTTCAAATATGCAACATCTGAAATCATAGAAAAGATCAAGAGTGCCCACGGCAAGTGTTTGATGAGTATTTAACCACATTTTTTGCAAAGTTTGACCAGGCAAGTGCTAACAAAAAGGTGGCAGAAAGCATAACTCTAACTCAACTCTAACTTATGCTCAATTAAAAAAAGAGATTTAATTTTTTGCTAGCACAGTAACTTCTTATTTATACCTTAATTCAGTTTTCTCTACTGGAAAGTATTTCCCTCCATGATGCTATATCCCTACTGGGGTGCACGGACAAAATTCAATTCTCATGTTGCAGCTACTAAAACATAACTGACGAAGCTGATTTGTTCTTTCCTAGAGAGATGGAGTTCAATGAATGGAAAGACATGTCCTGAATCCATTCACTATAAATGACCACCTATTTGGAATCAAAGAGTATTCTAGAAATGAAGACACCTGGCATAAATGGCTGGAATGCTGAGACCTCCAAATCAATGGTGTAAACCTGACTAGGTATATTTTATGCAATCCAAACCTCCTGTTCCAATCTTGGTGAATGGCACTCTTGTTTCATTTATCCCTTCACAACCAATAGATCATAATGGGAAAGCTGTACATCTTTCTTTTGCAGTCCCCTTTCCCAGTGCTACTGCAATTGCCTTAGTCCAACCTCTTATCACCTGTCTCTGGAATGATTGTACTAGGATGACATATCTCTAATTTCCTGAACAATCAGCCCCCATCCTCCATGAAAGCCACCTCTTAAAATTCAAATCTGATATTCCACAGATTATGTCACTCAATTTCTTAAAATTATCAATGGCTAGCCATTCTCTGCAGCATGAAATCCAAATTTCTTGGAAAGGCATCTAAGGCACCCTCTCGCCTCAAATTCAGCAGCACCCCAAACCATACTTCAGGGTGTCACAAAAGCGAGATCCTTGCTGTTCCCCAAACATACTTCGATGCCTTTGCATGTGTTCTCCCCAAAAGGACTGTATCCTAGAAGATTTCTACTCATTCTAGAAACCATCAGCTATCAGTTATTTGTCACAGAGTATGAAATACTATTGAGTACCAAACTCTGCGCTGGAACTAGGAATTCACAGCTAAACCAGGCAGTTCCTGCCTTCTAAGAATGCACATTCTAGTGAAAGTCCATAATAACAATACACATTGGAGGACAAAGAAGAAATCAGGAAACATTTATGAAACAAGGTAACACTCTAGTGTTTCATGCAAAAACAAACAAGCAAACAAGAATAACAACAAAATCAAGGTAAGCAAAGGTAAAGAGGAAAGAAAATTTTGTGATCAGAGGAAGAAAATACAAGGATGTGGGGAAAAAAAAGCCTGCCCGTGAGCATCATGAGAAGTGATAGGTTTGAAAGACACTAGGAATCTAGAATTGACAGGTAAAGGAAGGCTTTTAAGATAACTTCTAATTGTCTTCCCCCCACACACACTTCCTGATGACTGAAGAGGTTGTAGTCATTCATTGAGATAAAAAATAAAGGGAACTATCACCTTCTCAATATCCCGCACTATTAACCTTATCCTATTCAATACTGTCATCTTGCCTTGGAACATGTCACTATTTTAGAATGTAATGCACTTATTTAAGTTTTATTTTTTCTCACCTGTCACCCTGCTGTAGAATAAAAGACTCAGGCAGGCGGGGATACGTTTTTTTTTTTTTTTGGTTTGTTTTGTTCTCCGCTATAGATCCTAAAGCAATGGTAAAGGCATATAGCAGACTCAATAAATGGTTATTGAATGAATAAATGACTGAAAACTAATTAATAATTAATTCTGTTCTCAATATGTACAGTTTGAGATTTCTTTGGAATATCCTGAAAGAAAAATCAAACAGAATGCTACTTTCAAACTTAGCATGTGTAGCACCATCTGGGGATCTTGCCAAAAGGCAGATTTGGGTGTAACAGTTCTGGGGTAGGGCCCAAGATTCCACAGTTCAAGGAAACACTCAGATGAGGCTGATGCTGCCGGTATAAGAACCATGACTACCATGAAGTTCGCTGTTGAATATGTGACCTTGGAACTCAGTACCCTGGACATGTGATGTCAGATTCATCATCTAGAGAGGTGGTGACTGAAGTCACGAATATGGATGGACTCTCTAAGCAAGTAGCATGCAGTCAGAAAAAGCCCCAAGGACTCAGGAGTAGAAAGAACAAAGGGAGAAAAACTTTAATTTTAGCGAGCAATTAAAACTACAGAATGAGGGAATTTGAAGTTAGAGAGATTCTCCACAATACTAAATGTCACTATAAGAGGTTAACTAAAACACTGAAAAATGTCCTTTAAATATGGTGATCATAATCGTTATGGACGGAGCTGTGTCCTCCTAACATTGATAAGCTGAAGCCGTAATCCTCAATGTGACTGTATTTGGAGACAGGGCCTTCAAAGAGGTAAGAGAGCTTAAAAGAGGTTATACAGGCGGGTCCCTCTCTGATATGCCTGGTGTCCTAATAAGAAGAAATGAAATGCCAGGCGTGCATGCACACAGAGGAAAGGCCATCTGAGCACACAGTGAGAAGGTGGCCATCTGCAAGCCAAGGAGAGAGGCCTCAGGAGAAACCAAACATGCCAACACCTTGATCTTGGACTTATAGCTTCCATAACTGTGAGAAAATTAATTTCTGTTGTGTAAGCCATCCAGTCTGTGGTATTCTGTTATGGGAACCCTAGCAAACTAATATAATAATTAAAGCATTTGAAACAGGGTAATAGATTTCCTATTTGCAGTGTGATGAGCATTAAAGAGAGGGTGAGAAACTGAAGTGGAGAGTTCCAAAAGCAAAAATTAAGAGTTCTGTTGGTGTGTATGCTTGTTTGAAAAAGGAAGAGATCTGAAAGTATTTGTGTGTGAAAGGGAAGTCAATAACAAGAGTATGGTGTCAGCTGCTTGTTCCCAAATATTCCATGTCTCTACCTTCTGGCCGCAAAGCCCCTTTCAGGTTACCGTTGGTCTTGTGACTGGCTCTGGATTCTTGTAAATGCATGCAGAAGTGGTATATGTTCCTTGCAGGCTTCAGCTTTTATTGCCAATGTGGCTTTGCCAGCGTCTGTTTCCTTCTGCTGTGATGACAGGCAATATTTCACAAGTGGGCTGCTGTCATTCTGGGGTTTTAAAGCCAGGAAACCTTGAACAGCACCCCCGGCAGGTCTGAAGTGGGCATAGGCTGCTAACAAACATATATATATATATATATATATATACATACATATATATATGTAAAATTTTATTTATTTATTTTTGTCCAAACCAATTATAGGTTGGGGTTGTTTTGCTATTACATCATAACTTAGTCTCTTCATTAATACAAAGGTAAGAAAAGCAAATGAATAATTGATGGATCACAAATTGAAAGCAGTAGAGTGGTTTGGTTTGGAGCAAATTCTCTGAGACCAAAATAACGGAAGAAAGTCAATGTGAGTGATGAGATAAGGTTTGGTTTGTGAGGATAAAAATTTGATGGGAGAGCCTACTTGGAACTCTACTCTGTGTTTGGCAGTCTTTAGGTCACAGGAATTAAGAGTAGCATTGCAGAAAGTGGTTGTATGAAGGCCCAGGGGTCTACATTGGAGACAGAAAAAAATAATAATTGGTGGGAAATGAAGGAGTTAAAACACTAGTAGCTATAGTGAGGTCAAAAAGATTTATCTACAGAGCCAATTAATGTTGGTCTTGTTACAAGAATCCACACTTCAGTTCCCAGCTCAATACTCGGCCGACAACACACCATGCTTCCTTTTCCAGTTCTACATGAAATGTCT